ATATATATATATATATATGTGTTAGTGTAAACTACGTGTACCTGATGATGACAAAACCTTGTACACACGTTGTACATTTGCTGTTATGTTAAACTTGTATTAAAGTTTTTCTTCATTACCCATTCTGGCCCGGCATGGCCAGGTGGTTAGGGTACTCGACTCACAATCTGCGGGTTCGAATCCCCGTCACACCAAACATGCTCGCCATTTCAGCCGTGGGGACGTTATAATGTGACGGTCAATCCCACTATTCGTTGGTAAAAGAGTAGCCCAAGAGTTGGCGGTGGGTGGTGATGACTAGCTGCCTTCCCTCTAGTCTTACACTGCTAAATTAGGGACGGCTAGCGCAGATAGCCCTCGTGTAGCTTTGCGCAAAATTCAAAACAAACAAACAATTACCCATTCAATCCGTCTCAAACCATTATTAGACAAAGAAGAACGTTACTTAATACGTTAAAATAACTAAAGTGTAGATATTATGGTCGTGTGGTCAGAGAGCAGGCAATACATAGAACATTATTGGAGGGCAAGACCAATAGAAAGAGGCAAAGGAGGTGACCAAGGATGAAAGACGTATGTGAATGGGTACAACTTGACTATTCAGGATGCGTCAGAGCGGCACAGGAAAGGAAGATATGGCGCACCATGACGGCGAACCTTCTATAAGAGGGTGCCGACTCCATTGTCAGACAACAAAACCTAAACTTTCAGTGCCTTGTAAGAACAAAATTATAATTTTGAGGGTTAACATACACACAAGAATAGCAACCCATGGAAACTTTGGCGCAATGTATTTGAATTGTGTTTTGAATAAAGCTCTTGAAAGTAATTATTGAAAATAATATATTGTGGGAAAGCAATATTTAAGAATTGTTTCTAGTCTTTCACAACTGGAAAAGTTGATAGTGGTTTTTATTTTCTGTTCTGCAGTAGCGAAAGATTAGTATGATTTAAACTAGGAAAAAATTCACCACTCTCTGATGTAATGGGAAACAATATTTTTACTTTACAAGAAAATATCTTGAGAACACAGAAATTACCCAAAATACTTTCATGAGATTAAGTAATACATGACATGCCAACAACATTTATAAAACCTGATCGGGAAGAATGTTAAAAAATACTGCTCATTACAGTTTTTTTGTTAAATAAATCTATTTTAACCCTTTCGCTGCTTTGGACACATTTGTCTCCCTCTAGACTTTGTATCACTAGGAAGAAAAGGTATCCCCCCCCCCACACACCTTCAAACTTCCTAAAGTTTACCGGTTTATTATAATTATTTTGTTTTTTTATTATGTAACATAAATGTGGCAGTGAAAAGAGTTAAAAGCCTAGTACATGTACAACAATAATCTTGAAGAAACATATTTTTATTTCAGTTTGTATTCTAAGTTTTCAGTCGGTATTATCTCTCCACACCCTTATATGTTTGTGGTTGCGGTTGTCAGTACCGTACACAGAATGTTTGAGGGGGGGGGGAGTGGTCTAAAAGCCAACATCTATTGTGCCAAGTACAATCCGCATGCTAACTGCTGGATCTAGGGGCACTCGACTATTTCAAGCCAAAAAATGCTAATGCTTCATCAGAAGAATGTAGACTATGTTGAAAACATTAAATACAAATACCATAAGCAGGTGCGCTGTAACTATATAAGCATAATTTTTCACTTCACAAAAATGACGGGTTCCCTGCGTACGTACGTGGTTGTTTCGTTTTTTTTTTCCTTTTAGTATAATTTCCTAATGCTTTTAAGATGTAATTACCATGATCTCTGGATATGGAAAACTGCTTCAGTTGAACCCAAATGGATTACTTTACTTCGTTTATTAGTATCCTTTGTAATTAGCTAAAAGTTATGTGATCGTAAAGATAAAATATAGATTAAACTACCCTCCTAAAAATATGCGCGTACGTAACATATAGTTAACCTTGATGAAACCACGAACCTTCGTGACGAAAAACAATAAAAATACATTCACATAAAACTGGATTCTTTAACTGTTATTAATTATTTAGACCTCACTTTATACGACAAAACGAATGCTTAGGTTCTTCTAAAATTTACGTTGATGAAGTACTTAATTTACTTAACGAAAAATCCATGTTGTGTCACATACTAGAGTAAAAAGCATACTTCAGTTTTTAGGTATAACATGAAATCTCTATCATGAAAATCCTAATATTGAGATAGTTTTAGCGGACGTTATGAGTATTGTTTCTGTTTACTAAGATTGTTTGCTGTTCACTGCCATGGCAGCGACAGAACTAATAGGTTTATAAATCCAGATGCGAAAGCTTGTAGATTGCAGTAAAAGTTCTTTCTTCTACCCAATACTTTCTCCATGGTAAACTATAGTATACCACCAGAAAAACATGACCGTTGTTAGATTTCTGCTCCTAACGGTAATATTGACCAATCACCGATATTGGGCAGTAGAAGTTACAGGTAAGTATTTTCGGTTTATTGACCAATCCTTAACTGTATACATGTATATAGATATAGATGAGTAGTTTTTTTGAAATTCCCTTTAATGTTAAAAACTCACAATTTTTTAAAATATAAAAAAGTAAATTTAAATTATTGAATAAGGATGATGGACCTGATGGAAATGTTGTCAGCAGATTCTTTAATATGTAAATTGTTGATCTGGTAATTGTATAAGTAAGTGTTATTTTTTTGTAAAATATTACACCCCTGAGGATGACGCAGTGATGTACGCTGAAATACGTAGTGTATGAGACTGTTTTTCCAGTCTCATCGTTGTTGGTTTTTTTTAACATTTTTTTTACTCTGTAAAGTAAGTTATTTGTATTTTATTGTAATTTTGAGACCGGAAACAATCTCATTTTTAGAACTGCGTAAAAAAGTAATCGTTGTTTTTAAAAAAATTGTGAGTTTTTTAACATAGATGAGTATGATGCAAATTCCTTAGATTGATTTATATCGTACAATGTGTATAGAACTAGCGAACACGCCTATTGCCCACATTTACAGGGCTGCTACAATGCAGATTTAATGCTTGAACTACTCTTTTTGCATTTTTTTCAATTTAATGATGATTAGCGCTACAACGAAAATTAATTTCTTTAACTAAATTACGAACGATTATTATTAATTAATATGCCTACTTATTTAAGTGCTCTAACGTAAATCATTTACAACATGGCACACACATATTGAATCTGATTATATAGACTGTAATAAGAACGTTACTGATTAACCTTCAAACTAGCGAATTATTTTTATATCTTTCACTATCAGTAGGATCGATATATTGAATAATTTATCTTCTATGTGATATAAAAAGGAACTTCCGGCTGAAATTAAAAGGAGTAAGTAAAATAATAATGGTATTTTTTTTATATTTTTCTTGTGTGATTCTATGTTATTAAGGACCATTTAATTAACAAAATATGGACCTAAAAGTATTTGGTGTGTAAATAATTTATAAAAATGTATCGCACCCCATCCCTAGTTATAAGGTTTAACATTTTCAGCCAGGAGAGAACAAACCGTAAGAAACTAAAAGAACATTACATTCGGGGTGGGGATTAATTACGAACAAGATAACTAAAAAATTGGCAATTTAAGGAACTTAAAAACGTGCAAGTAGGGGTGTAATATACCAAGCGGGTTTTGTTATAGGCTGATAAGAGAATAATAAGAAGAAGAATTACAAACGAGTCGTTTTGAATGAATTTTCTCTTCCTTGTAAATCTAAAGTATGTGCTTTTTTATTCATTTTATATGTGTACAGCATTAGCAGTCAATAATAAAGGTTTTAAAGTGTTGTTTGAACTGAATCTTTACTGTTTAATGTGCTTTTTGTCCGAACGTTCTATTAGGGTTTTGTGCAATTACTTGCGATCCCTAATATGAACCATTATCGTGGATCATAATATTGCAATGGAAATAGAATTTCGTTAAAGAAAAGTTTTGGTAACAACGTCGGGGTTAGGGATACATGTACTTATTGCATACAAAGGGGAAATAAAGAGCGAGTGTTGTTTTGCTTTTCAATTACAATTGATGAAATGCATTATATTTCATTACGATAGTAATTTTTTTCA